AAATAATCTCAGCTCTCGAGATATATTTTGCTTGCGTTATTCTATATACACTATACAGGTAAATAAAAATGAATCTTTCTTACTGTGTTCGTTATACAAATCTACAATTTTCTTTCAATCTTGAGGAAACTTTGCACACTTGACATGTCAAAGGATAACAGAAATAGGATTTTTGATATTGTTGAAACGAAAATTGAATTTTTTTTGTTTTTGTTGATTTACCTTGGCAAAACGAATGGAAAAAAAACCCGCTATTTTATAAGATAATTTAGCTGTTGCAGGTACGGCAATTCATTTTTGAAAATATACGGACAAGATGCAGTGATAAAATGATTGTGGAAACGTGAAGTTACGGGAAATTATGTTTGAATTTTAAAATAGTTATTTTTCAATACTAACACGGGCAAAACTCACGAGGGACACGGATACATGTGAAACCGTAAAAAAACACGTAATAATAAAAACCCACATCAGTGTTGTGAAAGATAATTAATAATTTTATCGAAATACAAAAATAAAGATGATTATTATATATTTATCCAAGAAAAAGATAAAAATAATTTTTTTTTTATGTATGAAAAATTAATAAATTAATAATATAATATCAAAAATAATACTATGAACAATATTATTTACGTGAATCATCAAGGTGATTAAAAATAAAATAAAACGTGTGTGAACCACAGCGTCATCTACGTAGGTGTGTGGTACATATTTTTAAAATAAATTAAAAAGATACGATATGTTGGATTCATCTAGAAGATAAAAGATAACCGGGAGTGTATGTCAGTGGTGTATCCAAATTCCAGATGGCGGGGCATTGGCTGTGTTAAATATAAAAAAAAAGTGGCACATACTTCACACGTAGGTGCAGTCACTCTTGTAGGATACAGACGGGAATTTAATGTATGTCTTTAAGCAGCGATAAATCATTGCTAATGAAACAACGATTCTGAGCGTAGTTCAGTTTATAGTGTTGCAATATATTTGTCATATTATGATAAAATGATTACATCGATGTGTGTTTCTAAAACAACAATGATTGTTCAAAAAAAATTTAAATCTATACAAATTTAATAATAACAAAAAATAAATAAAAACGGTTACCAATGACAACTTTATTTTAAATCTTTCATTCTTTGTCAACCTAAATAACCAGATTTTCCTAATTATCTCGAATATCGATGAAAATTCTAAAAAATGTCCTCTTTAAAGTATCACCCAGAGAACATTTTCTTTCAGTAAAAGGAGCTATATTTAATAATCGAAGTGTGCTTTCTGATAGAAAAAGTGTTCAATTAAAAAAAAAAAAATTAAACATCATTGTAAAATCTGCAATATATTACTCGCTCCACTCAGAATCTAAAAAGAAGTTCTTGGATAATGGAGACGAATGCAGTCACTTTTAAAGATAATTTAATTTTTACCTGTAAACAACGATAAAACATTGCTTACGAAAAAACGATTTTGAGAGGAGTTTCGGCGATAGTGATGCTTTGTCAACAATATATATATATGTCATTTTACAGTAAAATAATTAAATAGGCTTTATTTATTTTCTTTAATAATATTTATTTAATGTTGTACCGATTATCTAACGTTTTCCCATGTTTAACTTGGTCTTTCATATTTTCTGGGAAAACTCCTGAAAAAATCAAAAAAAATGAACTCTCTTAAGTACCTCTCTAGTGAAATTTAAAAAACACTGCTATCAAGGTGGAGCGAAATTGTTGGTAGAAAACTTATGCACAAAAAAAAAAAGGTAAATATATTATTCCGTAATATATTTTAACTAATATCTAGATTTCTAAAATTTTCTCGTTTTTTTTCGGTTCTTCATATTTGATGAGAAAACTCTTGAGAAAATCGAAAAATAACCTCTCTCAAGTACCTCTTCACGCCGATTTCCTTTCGGAAAAGTCGCGCACAGACCGAAGAAAAAAAAAAAAAAATAAATAAACATCTTTGTCAAACCGTAAGCTTTATCGTTCCACTCGGAATCTAAAATGAGCATTGCCAACTGTACAACATTGAACAAACGTATTAGTTACGAATAAAACAGCGATAGTAATTTTACGTAGACGCCATTTGTTTGGAAAAATAGAAAAACGACGCGATACACGCGCGTAATTGTGTTTGTTTGTTTGTTGTTTTTTTTTTTTTCTTTCCGGGTTCAGACCGCCCGTTGAAAAGAATCCCGGGCCGTCGACGCGCGTCGCGGTCCACGCGCGGACGTTGTCTTTCGGACGACTCGGACGATCCGCGGGCCGACCGTTCCCGACGCGGCGGGTCCACGTGTCCGTACAACAACAGCGACGCGATATCATTGGGCGGCGCGCGCGTGCCGCCGTGTTATCTCGCGAACAAGAGAATTACCGGACGCCGTGCCGGACGCGTTAAAATTAGAATATGGCGCGCCGCGCCGCGTCGGTAATAATAGTACGAGATCGTAACGGCGCGCGAACGTTTCCCCCCCCCCGGCACCGCCCCCGCCCGCGGCCGTTGCGCGAAACCGACTCGCCCGCTCGCCCGCGACCCGCCCGGGAAAACCGCGTGACGCGTCCGTCGCGCGTACGCGGTAAATAACCCGCGGTGCCCGTGGCGACGTGCGCCGCGAAGTCGCAAGCGACGCGCGGACCGGATAACGCGTGTATTGCATCATGACGCGTATTGTCTTAACGAGATTTCGGCGCGAAACCGATTGCCGTACAATGCGGTGGCACACGGAGTCTCGACGTTAACGGACGTACGCGACGGCGGTTCTCGTCCCCCGACACCACGACCCGCGCGCGACCGTTGAAAGCGGTTATTTTTTTCTTTTCATCTTTTTCGGTCTGCGACGTGCTCGCCTATTATCCGTGTTATGATAATACGGCGCGCGGGTGTATGGAAATTTCACCCGGTGACTTTAACCAGTTTAACCTTAAAAATATACATATACATATGTATATAGACGCTAAAACTTAATAGTACAATAATTTGCGTGTGTGCGTGTGTGCGTGTGTGTGCGTGTGTGTGTCTGACATTTATGTACGTACGTAATTACACAATAAATTAACACGTGACTCGGACGTTTTCCCCATCTTTTATTTTTTTTTTTTTTTTTTTTTTTTTTTTTTTAGTTTTTCAATAGGTATACCTTTTTCGGTCATTATAATATTATATTATCACTATACCCGGGGTACCTATATAAATATTCAAGTTTCATAAATATTTCATTAGTATGCCCATAGGTATTTATTTTTTTTTTTTCCATTTTGAAACGGCAAAAATTACAAAAAAAAAAAAAGTACGCGTATGTTACCAATTGAGAACCGACCGAGTCTAATGCGGAGTTTTCGACTAAGTATAATATATACGTTTCACAATCGTACAGGTACGCACGCATAATATACATATTATATGTTTATACAAATCGTGTCTCGTATTTTCGTGGTATATTTTGGTTCGAAACCATTTTGAAAAACCACTGTCGAGCGATCGGTTATCTTAAAAAAAAAACAAAAACAAAAACACAAAAACAAAAGAAAACAAAAATAATAATCAGCGGGATATTGAAGTTCCAATGTATATTCTTCATTGTATATAGTTTATACAATTTTTTCGAACCTTATAAAAATAAGTTTTACAATTTTCGAAAGTTTTTCCCGGGGTTTATTTTCGTTAACCTACACTTTTTTCAAACCGTTTTCGTTTTTAATTATCAGTCTGACATTGTTCTCGTGTGTGAACTATCATTATTTATATGTGAACGAAATAAAATGTCGAACTCTATACAATACTTTAAACGACTCGTTTTTATCGCTAACTATTTGAGTTTCGACATTATTACTATGAACTATATAATTCCATCATGCATGACGCGCTATAACGGTCATTGAAATGTTTTAAACGGTTAGTGCTAAATCCAAACGCTACAAATTGTTACGGCGAAAACTTTATTTGCATACGGATTTCAATGATACCAAACGGTTTTTTTTTTTTTTTTTTACTAAAGTATTGTTTCGCCGTTAACCCTGAAACAATCGCTATTAATCAGTATGTACAACAATTGAGCACCGACTTATAGATAGATTGAAATACGAACGATATTACATTATGAAAAATCGACTGACAATAATATTTATTGTACGTCAATCGCAATCGTATGATAAAAGTCGACTTCGACTGAAACATTTCATGAATCTGAGTATACTATGACACAAAGTAACATTGCAGTCGAAATTATTATGAAAAATAAATTATAAAAATGTGGGACGTTGGTACATTTACAATTCGTTGGTTAAGAGGATGTATTACAATACTCGCATGACGTGTTGTTACCGTATAATAAAATGCATGACTTACAGAACGTGAACTGTGGCTTTTAAGTTTGAAATTAGAGTTGAATACCAAATAACAAAGTGTAAAAAATTAGAGCTATTTAAAAAAAATGCGAAAACTATCACGGTTGTTGCTTCAGTATTCGAAAACGTTCTTCTCTTTATTTGTGTTTTAATTCAAATTTCGATATACACCCGTGGCGTAGCCAGGAATTCTCAATGAATGGGGCCGAAAAAAAAAAAAAAAAACTCAACGTTAGACGTTCAATTCCTTATTTTTGCATTTAAAAATACAGCATACTTATTTACAGCCAATAAAATATAGAAATAAGCCGCAATCACCGTAGTATATAAAAAAAAAAAAAAAAAAAAACATACATGAAACGGTTATAACAAAAATATTTTTGAAAAACTACTGCTAAAAGTCGTGGGGCCCATTGTCCCCACGGCGCCCCTTGGCTACGCCACTTACCTTAACGCCACTATATATACGCTCTAAGCATAGGAGAAAAAGCGTTGAAGATCGACCGAAAAACAGACATAGGGATCTATTATGTAAACGATAATTATATACAAACCACAAGTTTAGAGTCTGTGCTGCAGGTGCACGTGCATATGATTATACTATATTCCGGGCCGTCCACGTGTACAACCTTGTGACCTTATTATATATTGTATACGCTTTTCGTGTCTTCAGAATTTAAAAATATACATTTTTCCGCAATTCGAACATTGAAAAATACTCGATAATAATTTGCGTTACAGTATGCATGTACGTACATAAAATTATCTGTTCATCAACACGTGCTAACCGTATACCGCGCCAATTTAATTTCTCTACCCTCCACCCTTTGTTTGACGCGAAGCAGAATTAAAAAAACAAAAAAATCTTTGAAATACGAAATCAACAAGACAATTTCAATTTGTGACTTGTCTTCTTTGTTTCGCCCATGTCGCCAAAGTATAATAACCCATCAATCGACAAAAAAATTTCAACTTTTGATCCGAAAGTACCGAAAAACCACGCGTGACCCAAATATAGTGATCGAATTTCGGAAATCTGGCTTCAATGTTCGCATGGACTCGCCGTTCAGCAACTTCGGTTTTATTATTCTAGAATACTCTTTGACGATCTAAGGTACAAGTAAAATGTTTAATAATATATTTTATTACGGGGCGATTGTCTTTCTCAGAAATCCGTCTCGGTTCGATTGATTTAAATTACATTAGGTGTACTCCTTTAGAAAAAAAAATCTGCACGTAGATATATGTATAAAAAAAAAAAAAAAAAAAGACTCGCGGATTAACATTATTATTATTTTATATAAGTATGGCAGCAAAAATCGTCGTCCAATCGATTAGTCTTGGAAATCGTCTCCTCTTTTGGAATTGACGGCATAAAAATGATGTACTACATATAATACTACACTAAAGTAATCGCAGTTTTTTGAAATATCCAAAACGAACGAAGTCGGTGGGAAACGTTGTTTGCGTTCGAAATCCGAACGATATAAATTTATAACAATATTATTATTTACTATATTGATGCTGTAAGACGAGTGCGTTATGTAAAAAAAAAAAAAAAAAAAAAAATCGATATAATAAACGCGTTCTACTTCTCACGTTCCATCATTAGAAAATATAAAAATAATAAAAATCTAATACGTTGGCAACGGCGAGATAGTGTGTTATCTATGCTACTCTATCATTATAACAGCGTATACGAATGGTCGGACGCGCGTGCGTGAAAAAAATGACGCGACGGACCGCCACCCGGTCGTAGGGCTGTGGGCGCGGGGAAAGGGAGTGTTCCGTGACGCGGGGCGACCGTATACACGAATTATTATTACCGGTACATAATTACACCGGACTTGAATACATTATTGTGTTATGCGAGTACGCGTGCGCCGACGTAAAATTTTGCGCGGGCTTCTTTGTTGACCGGTCCGTGCGACGTGCACATCATCCCGCCAAAACGGGTTCCGTGACTCCCCCCCTACCTCCCCCCCCTCCCCAGCCCGACACGAGATTCCTCAACCCGTTTTGTGCAAAAGCATGGAAAAAAAAAAAAAAAACCGACACAAATTCTTAAAGAGAATAAATATCTATATGTGTGTGTGTATGTATGTTATATGCCCGTACAGCGGGCATCCTTCTTGGACGGCCCGAGGACACGCGCAGTATACCGCGATTGTACCGTCGACGTTACTCGCATGCACAATTATTATTGCGCGCAGAACATTATTCTCTTACGCCGCTGTTTGTCAACAACGTATACGTTGTTTTGATTTTATTATTATTGTCGTTTTTTTTTTTTTTTTTAAATTTCACTTCGGCCGGCTTGTATACAGAGTGTACTTTGTTTTCATTGCGATCGGGCGGTTTTCTCTGACGATTTCGAGTAAATTTCGTATTTGTTTCTGATTTTTTTTTTTTTTTTTTTTGTAGCCGTCGCGGAGTCATCCGCATTGGCTGTATTGTTTAACGTTTATGTTTCAACGCCGTTTTCGCGTCTAACCTAACCTAACCGTACGCCAGTGTGGACTTTTCAACGCGAAAAGTACTTTCACGCGTGCGCGACAACGATGTTCGGATCTACGGGAGCACGTGCCCCTTCCCCCCTCCCCCTCTCAACGGACTATAGTTTTTGTTTACATAATTTATGTCCATTGAATACATTGTAATTTATAATTGATTTACTGAAAATATGAAAAAAAATGTGCCTTTCCCCACACCCCTTTAAGAAAATGTCCCGATCAGCCGCTGTCTACTGTTACAGGTTGAGCATATAATTTAAAAACGGGTAAAAGTGTGTTGGAATCGATCGTAATTATTATTGCGCACGGTAACGACCAATGAATCGCGATAAAAGATGAATCATCCTGTATAATTTAGTCCCGATCGGTTATTATCGTTGGTTACGCAATACCAATGACGGCGACGACGACGATGGCCTCCGCATGCTCGCGCTTTCTATGAATGAACTGCCGCCGCCGCTTACGAAGACGCGAAAATAATAAATAAATAATATAAATTACTACATGCTCGTAGTATTTCATTACATATATTTTTTTTTTTTGGTATTTTTTTTTATAAATATATGTGTAGTACCTAAGGAATTCACCGATTGGCGGGTCGTTTTCGAAAGAAGCAGTACTATACATCGTCTCACTTCGACGCCCACGTCGTCGTCGTCGGTATACGAGTTTGCGTATGCTTGCATTGTTTTTGTTTTATTTTTTTATTTTTCTGTTCTTATATTTGTTCAAGGTAATGCAGAATAGATTGCATTGCTTTTGCAGAAAAACGATACAAAGATTTTCTCGAAATTGCCGCAATAAAACAAAATACAATAGTTTTATTTTTTAAACCGTATAACCTATGGGAACTATATATTTTATTATTATAACGATATGTGCCGGATACGAATTTTAAAACAATATATGACGTACAAGAAATACATTTTAAAATTTGCGAATAAATAATGTAATAAAACGGTATTATTTAAAAAAAAAAAACCACAAAAATCCTTTGTACGACATTTATATTTACTGAACTGTTCTAAAAATATGCTCCATCCACAAAACGAAATTGTGTAGTATTGGCAGGGTTGCAGAGTGTTCTAAACACTTGTTTAAAACGTTTTAAACAATTCCCCGTGTTTGGAACGTCGTATACACACATTTTTGATCGTTCGAAAATTAAATTAAAATAAAATAACTAATGCGTTCTGCAGAGTGAAGACCGAAGATACAGTTCCTATATTTAATTCTTAAAATAAAAATGAAAATTATAAACATTTATATTGTTGTCAAAAAATTATGATAAACTTTTATTTTTACAACTAACTATTTTATTATAATATTATATTTACGAAAAATTTAACGTTTAAAACATATCAGTTTTTTCACAACTAAAAATATGTTTTTTTTTAAAAAAAAAAAAAACACACATTTTAATTTCGAATATTTTTCTTTTTGAAACATTGAATGTAGTGTTGTTTTAATATGCGATGTGTACTTCCATTGGTAATCCATTGCACTCATTGAGCCAGCTTGGATTGCATATTTAATGATGTCTGTAATTAGTCAGGTACAAAACGATTAAATGTAAAAACAGTGGCGCGCTCTTCTATATATTGGGTGTTCGCGAACCGATGACAGCTAGATCGTTAATATAGCTGACGGATGTGATCATCTCTCCCTCCACTCCTCCTCGTAACAAAATAGATTTTCCACCGATTTCCATTAATTTCGATCACGAGATGTAGAAAAAAAGTAATATTTTTATATTGTTATAAATTTAATATTATTTATTATTTATTATAGGTAAAGTTTTTACCGAAAATAACGGGTTTCCTTATTTCACCGAAACTATATTTTATCTAACTTTATTCTTGTATAATTATTTTTTATTTTTGTCGATTGTTTGCGATTTCGTACGAGGATTAGTTCTATTAAGCATTGCTTAGGCCTGTGTGTTGACGATCGTTTAAAAACGGGTCAGTCGTATTGATAAATTAATATCTAATTCAAAAAAAAAAAATAAAAAATAAATATATTTTTTATGTTTTTAAAACACTTACAAAAATATTCAATGCGATAATATGAAACAAGCGGTATATACAATAATCTCTAATGCAATCCATCGAATCTATTACGGGTTCGCTTTTCGGGTCTCCGCTCGTAAAACGCGTACGATTAAATAGGAGACCGCATTAAAACTCGTCGTTACCTAATAAAGTATTTATTCGATAATCCGAGACTCCACTCAATACTGTTTTGCCACACATAGAATCGAAATCGTTTAATCTTACTTCACTCCACTAGTGTTATCACGTTTTTACGTAGTGTCGTTTGAGCATGAAAACGCCGTGAGTGTTTAACAGCAGCGATAATTGTATTTAGATGTTCATAAATCAAGAACGAATCCCGATCGGCCGGGGCCGTATTGCCGTTATTGTATTTGTGAAATTCCGCGTTAAATTCAAAGGTCGTATTTTTAACTTTCGCGGTTTGAATCGTTTCCAAAACAACAATTGTCGCCGTTACTGTTCTCGGTAACACATCGCGTATCGCGGTCTCGATATTTTCCACGGTTAATTGCGTTATAAAAAAAAAAAAAAAAATGCGTAAAGCGTTTGTTGCTGACTGGTACGCCATCTGATGTCGCCATAAACGTCTTTCGATTGAAATCGATTTGTCGAAAAACCGTTCTCTCGGCATCGCGCACGAGCCGTTAATCGGCTTGATTGTAAACGACTCTGTGTTGACGCGCCGCGTCTCGAGTTGATTCTTCCGTTATTCCGCGCGGTCGGCGTTCGATAGATTCATTGGATCACCGGGCTGCGGTATTCCGTTTGCAGTGGCTGCGCTCTGTTGTACCGCAAGCCGACCGCATCCGCGAGATTCGCTGTCCGAACGGCGGTTCGATTTGTTCGCCGGCCGCGTTCCCAAATTTCGAAATCGTTCAAATCGACGCGGCCCGGGCGGCTTTACGCGGGCCGCGAGCGCGGCAACAATTATAATTGTAAAATAAAAACCACGCGTGTCCGCGGCGGGTACGCGAACGCCGTGCGCGCGCCGCGTGCGACGTCCCGCCGGGTCTCGCCTTGTACGAGACCCGGATCACACGCGAACGCGGCGATGTCAACGTCGTCGCCAGGTGTCTATATTGATTTCGCGAACGCGTGCGTTGCGTTCGTCCGCGTTCCGTGCGCGAGCGGCGCGTTCCGCCGAAATTTTCGGGATATTTGTTAAACGCGCGCGTGACGGTTATAATCGCTCGCACAATACATCGTTTACCGTGGATGTGCGCGCGGTTCGCGTACAGTTGTCGGCGGACCGTCGCCGGCAACGCGGTCGCGGTCGCGGGTCGCCGCGCAAACGCGCAAAATGGGTGAAAATATATTGTGTTACGGATTCTGCGGGCCCGGGGCTCGCAGTGTACTTACTTAAAATACGAGCTGAAAAAAAAAAAAACCATCAATTTAATATTATTAAAAATTCCTCAAAACGACAGAGGAGTCCGAAAGTCTCTCGTCTAACGGCTCCGACTTATTATCGTACACCATTTTCCGACACCGAACAAATAATTAGGCAACACGGACTTTTTCTATATTTTTTTCGAATACGAACAATTTTATTTAAACGAACTTGCTTTGGATTGCGTTGTGTTGAAAAATTTAATTTGACAAGGCTATAGCCGTGGGCGGAAGGAATTTTAAACCCCTCCGTACCGGTTATGCTATTTTAAATATGTCTCATAAGCGCTTTGAGGGTTATTTTTTTTTCTGAAATTTTTAAGCGCTTTTTTGCGGATTTTAAATGCTAGAAGTCCCGAGCCTTGAATTTATAATACAGTAGAAGTACAGGTTAAAATTTAGACTGGAAGAGTA